GTCGAGAACAAAAGGCACCAGGTACTCACATTCTAAGTTCAGAGAAATAGGAGCTGAGATGCCAGTCACTTCCCCACAGGGCTTGCAAAGAGGTTCTTTTCAGCAGACCCAGCAAAATAATCCCCTATCCTTCATTAGATTAATCTATATAAAAGGGTAGAAAATACTATTTCTGAGAATACAGCCTACAGAGTCACTTGCACCATGTGAATTGATGTATATACAAGGTTACACATTGCAGTTCATAAGGAACTGGGGAATGATATGATACATACAGACAATGGAATACTATACAACTGTAAAGAAAGACTGAGAAAGTTCTTCTTGTATTAATATGGAAATACCCACAAGATATATTGTTAAACTTTAAAAAAGGTTAGAACAACATATATAGTATGATACCTTTTGTGTAAAAAGGTAGTAAACAAGGACATATCTAGATTTTGCTACTATGTGCATCAAGAACCTCTGGAAGGATGCACAAAAGCTAATAACAGTGATCACCTAAGAGTGGGGTGTGTGAACAGATAGAGGACAGAGGTAGTTTCTCTTTTGAATCATGTGAATGTAGCAAAATATAAAAATTAACCCCTCTTAAAAATGAAAAATAAGAAAATTGTCGTGTACAGAGATGGAAAGATCTCTAAGACATATGATTAAGTGAAAAAAGTATAGAAGACTGATAGCAAAGTGTTATTTAAGTATATATACTTATAATACACACACATATATACACATATATATGCATGTTTGTAATAATAGAATTTTTGTGGCAGAAGACACTGGTAATGGGCTTCCCTCTGGAAAAGTAAACCAGATGACTGGAGAAAGGGAAGGGATAATATGAAGAGAGAGCAATGCTCACCAAGTTCCCATTTGGTGATGAGCCAAAATGTGTGAAAGTATGAGTTATGAATTGCATTTTCTCTGGGTTATGAGCCACACTTTCTTTGTGTCTCCCATTTGCTTCTTAACATCTCTGGCCCCTTTGCAGTTGGGCAGACCCACATGCCTGGTTTTGGCCAAAGAAACATGAGTACAAAGGACATGTGCCATTTCTGAGCTGAGATGGTGAAAGTCTATGAGTGATTCTCTAGTCTCTTGCCTCTGGCTTGGTCTGATTACTAGAATGGGGCTGAATATTCTGTGGGAGATGAGTGGGTTCAGGCATGAGGAGCTAAGAGCAAAGGCAGAGCCTAATCCAAGTACAGTCTTCCATATCTGTGGATTCCACATTCCCAGATTCAGTCAACCATGGATTTAAAAATATTTGAAAATAAAAAGAATTAAAATATACAAAATTTAAGACCAATATAGATAACAACTATTTGCAAGGCATTTACCTTGTACTAGATATTATAGGCAATCCGGAGATGATTTAAAATATATAGGAGAATGTGCATGTTACACGTAAGTGTTACACCATTTTATACAAGGGACACAACCATCTATGGATTTTGCTATCCATGAGGGGTCCTGGAACCAATCTTCCACAGATACCAAGGGACAACTGTGCATATGTGGCTAAAGAACATGTGCTTTATTGTGGTAAGTTTGTACTTTCGCATCAAGCTTTTTCTCCGAAATGAATAGACAAGAGACTGAGGAAGGAAGAAGGCATCCAAATATTCAGCAACATTAAAAAATGCATCCTCTGATCAGTGGATGTCTCAGCCTGATTTTCCACATTTTCTTCTTCCAATTAGTGACAAATGCCTTGCCCATCTAGTCCTGCAGTCTTTTTTCAAGTGAGGTGAAACAGTTTTAACTATTTTAGCCCTAAGGACCTGTATTCTGCCACTGCTTGTACAATACTCTTACAATCTTTTTTACTCTGTGCCTCATTTTAGATTATTTGTATTGTATTCTTTTTAGCTTCATGGTTTATTCTTTTGCAATATCTAGCCTGCTATTTAATTTTGTCCAGTAAAATTTTCACTTCAGATATTTTATTTTTCATCTAAAAAATTTATTTTGTTTTTTACCCCAATGTTTCTATGTCTTCAATTTATCTCTTTATTGTGTTCATATATTCTTTTAAATCCTTGAGACTTATTTTTCTGATAAGTCTTTTAAAGTTCTTGTCTAATTAATTTCATCATCTGTCATGTCTGGGTCTGTTTCTATCAACTGATTTTTCTCTGGGTTATGAGCCACGCTTTCCTATGTCTAGTAATTATTATTATTACTATTTTGAAATGGAGTCTTGCTCTGTTGCCCAGGCTGGAGTTCAGTGGCAGGATTTCAGGTCACTGCAACCTTTGTCTCCCAGCTTCAAGTGATTCTTGTGCCTCACCCTCCCGAGTAATGGGGATTACAGGCACCTGCCATCATGCCTGGCTAAGTTTTGTATTTTTAGTAGAGATAGGGTTTTGCCATGTTGGTCAGGCTAGGCTGGTCCCAAACTCCTGACTTCAAGTGATCCACCCACTTCAGCTTCCCAAAGTGCTGGAATTACAGGCATGAGCCATCACACCCGGCCTCTAGTAATTTTTATTGGATGTTGGACTTAAATTTTACATTGCTGATTACTGGATATTATTACATTCCTTTAAAGATTATCTGTACTGTAGCAGAAAGTTATTTACAGGTTATCTTAATCTTTTCCAGACTTGCTTTTAAGTTTTTCTGGCAGTGAGTTTATCTGGAGTAGCCTTACTCTAGGTCTGGTTTAGGCTCCCTATTAAAATTTGACCTATCTAAGGTGGCTACTGAATTCTCCATGTATTCAGCAAAGTTTCTTCACTCTGATTAGTGGGAACCTGATTTAGTCCCAATCCTGTGCAAGCTTTGAGAGTTACTTGGCTTACAGTGTCCCAATAATTGCTCTTTCCCAGCACTTTGTTCCATCTCATAAAGTTTCACCCTTTGCATGCACAAATTGATAGTCAAAGTCTCAAAAGGACCTCTATATAGATATCTGGATCCCTTTTCACTCCAAAGCTCCCTTCTGTCCACTATTTATGATCTCTGTCTCCACTCAGTAAGACCATCAGGCTCTATTTGGGTTCCCTCTTCCTGAGCCACTGCCAGAAAATTGCTTCCAGGAAGAAGGCCAGAGCAATTGTAGGATTCATCTTATTTTATTCCTTTCTCTTGAACATCATAGTGCTGCACTGCCTATTATTCAATATCCAAGAATGGTTGTTTCTCTTTTATCTAGTTATCTAGGTTTTATAATGGCAGTTGGGGAAGAATGCAGACTTCTAGTAGTACCTCTTAAGGGCCAAAGTCTTGCATTTAAACTCTCTTTTAAGGGATTATATCCATTCATATACTCTACATTTTTGCTCTGAACAAATAGGACCAAGATCAATAGCACACACTGAGTTGGACTTAAGTTTTCCAACCAGGTACTAAGAGTAGTTTAACTTGCAGTAAATTTGGCAAATTTGATCTTCAGAGATAACTGCATTTAACTTCTGAATCCTTTTATCCTCAGGTTCCTACAGTCTTTGTTCTTTCTCTTTATCAAATCTTTTTTTCAGAAAGCCTATAACATTTTAGAAGTGATCAAACCTTAGCAGAAGAAAATGAAGCTCCAGTGCTGATAAACTGCAGCAGATGGCAGAGACTTTGTGACAGGCGAGGAAGCCATCTGGTGGGATCCTTCCACACAGTTGCCTGCTTGTAGACCCAGTGACAGTCCTGATTTAAAGCAAATGAATTTTTTTCCTTCTCTTCTCAAATAAAAGCACACCTTTGCTTGAGTTGAGATCTGCTTCAGCTGAGGGCTTTCCTGTTTCTCAGTAATAAGTTCGAGTACTTGAATTTCACAAAAATTTGTACATTGCCTAAGTGTTGTGACCCACCTTCACCCAGAAGTTGTGCCATCTAAGTTACTGGAAGCCATGTGCAAGCCTCCAAAGTTAACTGGACATTGTGTCTGTGCCTGTGTGTGTGACCAGGGAACTTCTACTGGGTTAATGTTCTGTTCTTGCCAGAGCTTCACAGAAGCAATCTGCAAATGCATCATGCCAGTGTCCATGTGTGGAACCATCAGGGCCACTTGCACCATTCAGTATTGCATTATATGAACAAATGGCCCTTCAGAATTGCAGCATTTAAGTCACTGATTGAACCAGACTATGGGTTTAAATTATCTTTCTCCATATGGAGCCACGGCTTAAATTAGGCTGTTTATATCCTTGAGGAAAGTTATTATAGCTCCAGGAACACATGGCCAGATAAGAAGCATGCAAAAATCAGCCTGATGTAAGTCATGTGCTTATTTAAATTTTATCCATTCTTCAAGGTCAAGCTCAAATACCACTTTTTATGAGAAGTTGTGATGGGTAATTTTACATGTCAACTGAGATAGGCTATAGTACTGAGTTATTTGATCAAGCACTGATCTAGATGTTGCTGTGAAGACATTTTGTAGCTGTGGTTAACATCTATGATCTTTAAGTAAAGATTAGTCTGAATAAGGCCGGTAGACTTCATCAAATCAGTTGAAGGCCTTAAGAGCAAAAACTGAGGTTTACCCAAGAAGAAATTCTGTCTCAAACCGGCAACATTAACTCCTCCTGAATTTCCAGCCTGCCTGCCTGCCTACACTATGGATTTCAGACTTGCCAGCCCCCACATTGCACATTGCATGAGCCAATTTCTTATTTCTTAAAATAAGTCTCTGACTGTATGTGTGTGTGTGTGCACATGCATGTGCGTGTGTGTGTGTGTGTTGTACACACATATAAAATAGAGTTTGTTTCTCTGGAAAACCCTAATTGAAACAGAAGCCTTTTCTGACATCTCTAGACCAAAGTGATTTCCCCTTCCTCTGACTTAGCACTTAACTGTATACTACCTTTATTTTTATAATTTCATTTATTTTATCCTCAAATATTTATGGTATATATAAAGGACAGACTAAACTGCTATAATTAAGAAATTTAAAATTACAGTGGCTTTGGTAAAAAATAGAATTTGCCCCTCTAAACATTCTAGAGGATATGCGGTCCAGGCTGACAGGGTGGCTCTGCTCCACAAGGTCAGAAAACAACGTAGGAACTATATTGTTCTGTCACCTCTAAGGGTGTTGTCTTTATTTGATAATGGTCTCAAGTTTGTCTCTTTGTATTTGAGGGAGACAAATTTCCAAAGCCCTGTATTTCAAGTCCACTGGGCTACTGCCAGTTCCTCACACTCCATCTTTCAGCCTTCTTGGCAAGGCATCTGGAAAAGTATTTAAAAAGTATTTCTGTTGTTTTACCTCCTACTAACAATACTACAATTGTAATCATGTGTTTCTATCACAGACTTTGCCAACCCCAATGCATTGCACCTCTCATTGCATGTGAATGATGACTCCTGTTCTATTCTCTCACCTTCCAACACCATGAAGTCCATGCTAGCTGGCTGGTTGCTAAGAAAACTAATTGATAGTTACCAACAAGGACCTCAAGGAAACCTCAGATTGGCCAAGGATCACTATACGAAGTAAGAGCATCAATTTAGGATCCTTTTCATTTCACTTACCTTCCTCCAGTTTTTACTCACAGCTTCATGAGTCACACTAAGAACATATTCTTTATTCTTTATTCCAGTTCTCTCCCTAAAAGAAACCTAAGTAGGGTGAACATATGGATCATATAAGACAAGTAAAGAAGCCATGGCAAACTCCAGTACTAAAGTCACTGGGCAGGGAAAGTCCTGAAGGAGTGATAGTAGGGACCACCTCTCTTCAAAATACTTTTCAGTGGGATAAATTCATTTACTAAGGCAGAAGTTCTCAAAATATGTGAGGTCCCTGCACCAGCAGCATAAGTATCATTGGGGAACTTGCTAGAAATACCAATTCTCAGGCCCCAACACTGTCCTGAGTTTGAGTCATAAACTCAGGGAGTGGGGTCAAGCAATCGGTATTTTAACAAGCCCTCCAGGTGACTGACTCAAGCTAAAGTGTGAAAACTACTATACTTAGCAAATCTTGGGAAACTTCATGCCATTCCATCTTCAGCAAAGGTCTTGGACATAACATCCAAACTGATTATTCCATTATTTCATTCCAGACTCAGAAAGAAGCCACAGCCTCTGCTAGACTTTTGGCTGTACACACCACTGTCTCAGGGGATCTCTCTGTAACACATTAACTGGTCGTCTTCTCTTACTGCCTTTGCTTCTCATTCCTGACCCCAGTCAGAGGTTGTCTGTCAGACTTGGTTTAAGCCTCTCTGGCCAAACACTATATCTAATGAATGGATAAACAAAATGTAGTATATATGTACAATGAAATATTATTCAGTCGTAAAAGAAGTGCAGTTGTTATATGTTACCACGTAAATGAACCTTGAAAACATGCTAAGTGAAAGAAACCAGACATAAAAGACCACATATTGTATGATTCATTTAATGAAATGTCCAGAATAGACAAATAGATGCAAAAAGTAGTTTAGGGGCTGGGGGCGGTGGCTCACGCCTGTAACCCCAGCACTTTGGGAGGCCGAGGCGGGTGGATCACGAGATCAAGAGATCAAGTCCATCCTGGTCAACATGGTGAAACCCCATCTCTATTAAAATACAAAAAATTAGCTGGGCATGGTGGCGTATGCCTATAATCCCAGCTACTCAGGAGGCTGAGGCAGGAGAATTGCTTGAACCCAGGAGGCGGAGGTTGCGGTGAGCCGAGGTTGCGCCATTGCACTCCAGCCTGGGTAACAAGAGTGAAACTCCGTCTCAAAAAAAAAAAAAGTAGTTTAGTAGTTACCAAGGGATGAGGAAGGGGAGAATAGCGATTAACTGCTAATAGGTATGGGGTTTCTTTCAGGGGTGATGGAAATGTTCTAGAAGTATGTAGTGGTATTAGTTGCTCACCATAGTCAATATACTGAAATAGACATACAAAATGTTGAATTCTATGTTATATAAAGTATATATCTCAATTTTTACATGCTATAAAAGAAAAAAAATGTTGTGTTGAATATTGTACTTGGGTTCAAAATAGCATATGAGTCCGAGCAATTGCTGAACAAAAATCCATGTGAAAATAACGTGGAATTTTTGTTAACTGGAGCCTAAATGAGATAATTTTGCAATCTGACTACTGAGAATGCTAAGTTGATCTTTGATTGCAATTGGCAGTGTTCCGGTTAAGGAAGAAGGTAGTCATTCTTTCTGCTCTGTTCACCAGAGTGAACCATTTCTAGGGTCGTGGATTCGGTAATGGGCATTTAAGAATGTTGACAAAATTCAGCAATAAAAAGAAATGAAGACATGCCACGTGGTGCTGTGGCAGGCAGCAGGGCCTGGGTGGTTGAGGCAGCTGAGCAGCAGACACGCACACCACAAAGCGTGGTGATGGAACAGTAACTGGGCTTGTGAGAGGGCTCTACAGTATAAACTAGGAGACAAGATCCACAGATTCACCATAAACCAGGTGACATCTGTTCCTGAGCTATTTCTGACTGCAGTGAACCTCAGCCATGATGGTTCACTGGAGCCAGATATTTAAACCTGGCCAGAGAAGACACAAATAATCTATTCAGCATGCAGTTCTGCACCACTCCTGTGGACAGCACCAGTGTTTCTCACATTCTTGAGCATACTATCCTTTGTGGGTCTCAGAAATATCCATGCAGAGACCCTTTCTTCAAAATGTTGAACTGGTCCCTATCCACTTTCATAAACCCCTTCACAGTGATTATACTCTGTATCCATTTTTCACACAAAATCCCAAGGACTTTCAGAATCTCCTCTCAGTGTATTTGGATGCCGCCTTTTCCCCATGTTTACCAGAGCTGGATTTCTGGCAGGAAGGTCTGAATGACCCCCAGATGTCCTTGGTCTTTAAAGGAGTCTGCTTTAATGAGGTGAAGGAAGCATTTACAGACAATGAGAGGATATTCTCCCAGCACCTTCAGAACAGACTTCTTCCAGACCACACTTACTCAGTGGTCTCTGGGGGTGATCCATTGTACATCCCAGAGCTTACATGGGAGCAAATTAAGCAATTTCATGTCACTCACTCTCACTTAAGCTATGCTAGGTTATTCATGCATGGTAATTTTCTGTTAGAACAGCATCTGAAACAAATTCATGAGGAAGCACTGAGAAAATTTCAGAAAATTGAACTGAGCACCACAGTGCCAGTTCAGACACCCTGGGACAAGCCTAAGGAATTCCAGATAACATGTAGCCCATATTCATTTTCTACAGATCCCTCTAAACAAACAACCATCAGCATTAACTTCCTATTACCAGACATCATCAACACATTTGAAGAATTCACACTAAGTCTTCTGTCTTCACTCTTGATTTCTGGGCCCAACTCTCTTTTACAAAGCCTTGATTGAATCTGGCCTTGGCACAGACTTTTCTCCTGATGTTGGATATAATAGCTAATAAGGGAGGCCTGCTTCAGAGTTGACCTCCAAGGGATTGTGGAGAAAGACATAGAGACCATCAGATGAGTCATAAACAAAACAATTGATGAAGTAGTTGAGAAAAGATTTGAAGATGATCAAATTGAAGCTTTACTTCATAAAATTGAAATACAGATGAAACATCAGTCTGCCAGCTTTGTATTGACTCTGACATCATACATAGCTTCTTGCTGGAACCATGATGGGAACCCTGTGGAGCTCTTGAAGTGGGAAATCAGTTGGCTAAATTCAGACAGTGCCTGCAGAAAAATCCAAAATTTTTACAAGAAAAAGTAAAACAGTATTTTAAGAATAATCAGCATAAGCTGACTTTATCAATGAGTCCAAACGACAAGGGTCATGAGAAGCAAGCACAGGCAGAAGCTACAGAGCTCAAGCAGAAGGTTGAGGCTTTGTCCTCCAGAGACAGGCAGCAGATCTACAAGAAAGGTTTAGAATTACGGACTCAACAAAGCAAACCTCAAAATGCCTCTTGTCTGCCAGTGTTGAAAGTTTCAGATATTGAGCCCACCATACCTATCAAGAAGTTGGAAGTGGTCCTGACAATTGGAGATATCCCTGTTCAGTACTGCACCCAGCCCACCAATGGTGTGGTATATTTCTGGGCCTTCTCCAGTCTGAACATGCTCCCTGAGGAGCTGAGCCCCTAGGTGCCTCTTTTCTGCAGCATCCTCACCAAACTGGGCTGTGGCCTACCTGACTACCAGGAGCAGGCTCAGCAGATAGAACTGAAGACTGGAGGAATGATCGCTTCTCCCCACGTGCTCCCTGACAACTTGCATATGGATACCTATGAGCAGGGTGTGCTTTTCTCCTCTCTCTGCCTGTACCGAAACCTGCCAGACAGATGCATTTATGGAGTGAAATATTTAACAACCCATGCTTTGAGGAAGAAAAAGATTTAAAAGTGCTGGTGAAGATGACTACCATGCATTTCTCTTCCCAGAGGAAAGGGTATCTGCCTCACCATTGCTGAAGAGAGAGATGAGAGACTGGCGGCCAAACAGAGCAGTGGGTAAAATGGTCTCTAGTGACATGTTAGAAAGATTTTTGTGCTTAATTAAAGATAACATGGCATGAAAAAAAGATCATTCATCATGACCAAGTGGAATTTATCCCAGGAATGCAAGGATAGTTGAACACACACAAGTCTATGAATATGATACATCATATGTATCATAATGAAAGATGAAAACCATATGATCATTTCAATTGATGCCAGAAAAGCATTTGTTAGTATTTAACATCCCTTCATGATACAAGAAAAACCTCAAAAAATTGGATATAGAAGGAACATACATCAACATAATAAAAGCCATATATAACAGACCCACAGCTATTATTATACAGAATGGGGCAAAATTGAAAGTCTTTTCTCTAAGATCGGGAACACAACAAGGTTGTCCACTTTTTTATTAAACATATTACTGGAAGTCCTAGTTAGAGCAATCAGAGAAGAGAAAGAAGTTAAGGGTCTCCAAATTGGAAAGGAAGAAGTAAAATTATCCTTGTTTAAAAATGATATGATCCTATATTTTGAAAAAATCCTAAGGAATCCACACACAAACAGACACACATACAAAAACTATTAGAACTGATAAACTCAGTAAAGTTGAAGGATACAAATATCAGGAGCATTTCTGTATGTTAAGAGCAAACAATCTGAAAAAAGAAATCAAAATATTAATCCCATTTACAATAGTCACAAATAAAATAAAATACCTAGGAATTATCCAAAGAAGTGAAATATCTCTATAATGAAAACTCTAAAATAGTGATAACACCAAAAAAAAAAAGAAAGAAAAGGAAAGATATTTCATGTTCATGGATTGGGAGAATTAGTGTTGTTAAATGTCCATAGTACCCAAAGTAATCTACAAATTCAATGCAATCTTCATCAAAATACCAATGGCATTCTTCACAGAAATACAAAAAATAATCCTAAAATGTATATAAACTACAAAAGACCCAGACTAATCAAATCTGTCTTAAGCAAAAAGAACAAAACTGGGGGAATTACATTACCTGACTTGAAATTATACTATATCAAGATAGGGTGATAAAAAAATTGTACTATAGAGCTATAGTAAACAAAACAGCATGGGATTGGCATAAAAACAGACATATAAACCAGTGGAACAGAATAGAGAGCCCAGAAATAAATCCCCATACCTACAGTGAACTCATTTTCAATTAAGGTACCAAGAACATATACTGAAAAAAAAAATAGTCTTTTCAATAAATGGTGCTAAGAAAAATGGATATCATATGCAGAAGAAAGAAACTAGACCCTGTATCTCACCATAAGCAAAAATCAAATAAAAATGGATTAAAGACTTAAATCTAAGATCTCAAACTATGAAACTACTAAAAAAACTGGGGAACGTCTCCAGGACATTGGTCTGGGCAAAAATTATTGAGTAATACCCCACAAGCAGAGGGAACCAAAGCAAAAATGAACTAATGGGATCATATCAAGTTAAAAAGACTTTGCACAGTAGTGGAAACAATCAACAAAGTGAAGAGACAACTAGCAGAATGGGAGAAAATATTTGCAAGCTGCCCATCTGACGAGGGACTAATAACCAGAATATGTAAGGAGCTCAAAGAACTCTATAGGGAAAAATCTAAGAATCCAATCCAAAAAATGGGCAAAAGATGTGCATAGACATTTCTCAAAAGAAGACATACAAACAAGCAGGCAAATGAAAAAGTGGCCAGTATCACTGACCGTCAGCAAAATGCAAATCAAAACTGCAGTGAGACATCATCTCACACCAGTTAAAATGGCTTATATCCAAAAGACAGGCAATAAGAAATGCTGGCAAGGATGTAGAGAAAGTAGAACCTTCGTACACTGTTGGTAAGAATGAAATTAGTACAACCACTATGGAGAGCAGTTTGGAGGTTCCTCAGATATCTAAATATAGAGCTGGGTATATATCCAAAAGGGAGGAAATCAGCATATTAAAGAGATATCTGCACTCTCATGTTTATTGTAGCACTGTTCACAATAGCCAAGACTTGGAAGCAACCTAAGTGTCCCTCGACAGATGAATGGATAAATAAAATGTGGTACACATACACAATGGAGTACTATTTAGCCATAAAAGAATGAAATCCTGTCATTTGTAACAACATGGATGGAACTGAAGATCATTATATTGAGTGAAAAAAGGCAGGCACAGAAAGACAACCATCATATGTTCTCATTTATTTGTGGGATTTAAAAATCAAATCAAGGAGGAGGGGACTCAAGATGGCGCTGTGAGAACAACCCAGGATTGGAGCCCGCGTTGAATTCGCAAACGGTGAGTCAGTGCTGCATTTCCAGACTGATCTTTGTTGCCCACAGAACGGGGAAACTCCCAAGTATAAAAAGACATGGGACGCCAGGCAGTAGGTCTGCCTGGCGAAGCCGGCAGCCGGGGCGGCGGCGGCCGGCCCTACCCAGCAATCCCCACAGGGCGCGCTTGTCCAGGTGCCTTGTTGAACCGGCAACCTGAGACTTGAGAGGGCTGGACTCGAGACTGAACGAGACTTGCACAGTAGCCCAGCCCAGGGGATTGCAGGGACAGATCGCTTGGGATACCCAGTGGGACGAACAAAACCGCGATTTCAAACTATCCCAGGCAGACGGTCCGAGACGCTCTGTGGGGGAGGGGCGTCCACCACTACGGAGGCAACCTGCCCCAACTGATATACACGCCCACTGCTGACGCAGCCAGCCGTTGCCGAGGCAACCCGCCCCAACTGAGATACACGCCCACTGCTGACGCAGCCAGCCGTTGCCGAGGCAACCGGTCCCTACTGAGATACACGCCCACTGCTGACGCAGCCTGCCGTTGCTGAGGCAACACACTACAACGAAGAGACTCCGCCGCAGGGCGTGGTGGAGACCACAGCAGAGCCAGCAGGAACAGCGCGAATCACACAACAGCAGGGCGGAGCCTCGGCAGCCAAACAGTGGCTAGTCTGCCTTCTAGCTGGGCAGGACACCTGATCGGACATCCAAAAATAAAGCCCAAACCCCTCAACACAGAGCATTTGAGAAAAAAAAAAAGGGTTGTTTAATGAGCTGTGTTGCAGCAGAATCAAACATAGCAGCCTAACAGCCCTGAATGAACAACAGAGTGCACAGCTCAGCAATTAAACCCCTATAAAGTACAAACTGTCTCCTCAAGCAGCTCCCTGACCCCTCTATATCCAAAAGACTGTCATTAGGCAGGCATCATCCTGGGACAAAGAGAGCAGAAAAAGAAACTGGTAGCATCCCTCGCTGTGCCACGGCTACTAGAGGTGCACCCCAGACAAGCAGGGTCTGGAGCGGACCTCAACAGTCGTACAGCGAAGGGGCTAGACTGGTAGAAGGAAAATCAAGCAACAGAAATACTTCATCATCAACATTCTGGGTGTCCACTCAGAGACCCAAACGAAAAGTCAGCAACTACGCAGACGACCAGCGGACAAATCCACAAAGATGGGAAGAAACCAGCGCAAAAAGGAGGAAAACACCCGAAACCAGAACACATCGCCTCCTAGAAAGGACCAAGACTCCTCACCAGCAAGGGAACAAAGCTGGACGGAGAATGACTGTGACGAAATGACGGAATTAGACTTCAGAAGATGGATAATGAGAAACTTTTGTGAGCTAAAAGATCATGTATTAAATCAATGCAAAGAAACTAAAAACCTTGAAAAAAGATTTGAAAAAAGATTCGAGGAAATGATAACAAGAATGGATACCTTAGAGAGGAATATGAATGAACTAAAGGAGCTGAAAAACACAATACGAGAACTTCGCGAAGCAAACGCAAGTTTCAATAGCCGAATTGACCAAGCAGAAGAAAGAATATCTGAAGTCGAAGACCAACTCAATGAAATAAAACGAGAAACCAAGATCAGAGAAAAAAGCACAAAAAGGAATGAACAAAGTCTCCAAGAAATGTGGGACTATGTGAAAAGACCTAACCTACGTTTGATAGGTGTACCAGAAGGGGACGAAGAGAATGAATCCCAGCTGGAAAATACTCTTCAGGACATCATCCAGGAAAATTTCCCCCACCTAGCAAGACAAGCCAACACTCAATTGCAGGAAATACAGAGAACACCACAAAGATATTCCGCAAGAAGAGCAACCCCAAGGCACATAATCGTCAGATTCAACAGGGTTGAAATAAAGGAGAGAATACTAAGGGCAGCCAGAGAGAAAGGTCGGGTCACCCACAAAGGGAAGCCCATCAGACTCACAGCAGATCTCTCGGCAGAAACACTACAAGCCAGAAGAGAGTGGGGGCCAATATTCAACATTCTTAAAGAAAAGAACTTTCAACCCAGAATTTCATATCCAGCCAAACTGAGCTTCAGAAGTGAAGGAAGAATAAAATCCTTTGCGAACAAGCAAGTACTCAGAGATTTTGTCACCACCAGGCCTGCTTTACAAGAGCTCCTAAAAGAGGCACTACACATAGAAAGGATCAATCAGTACCAGCCATTCCAAAATCACACTGAATGCTAAAGAGCTTCAACATAATGAAGAATCTACAACAACTAACAGGCAAAACAGCCACTTAGCATCAAAATGGCAGTATCAAATTCACACATAACAATATTAACCCTAAATGTAAATGGACTAAATGCACCAATCAAAAGACACAGACTGGCAAATTGGATAAAAATCCAAAACCCATCAGTGTGCTGTATCCAGGAAACCCATCTCACATGCAAGGATACACAAAGGCTCAAAATAAAGGGATGGAGGAAGATTTACCAAGCTAATGGAAAGCAAAAAAAAGCAGGAGTTGCAATTCTCATCTCTGATAAAATAGACTTTAAAGCAACAAAGATCAAAAGAGACAAAGAAGGCCATTACATAATGGTAAAAGGATCGATACAACAAGAAGAGCTAACGATCCTAAACATATATGGACCCAACACAGGAGCACCCAGATACATAAGGCAAGTTCTTAATGACTTACAGAAGGACTTAGACTCCCACACAATAATAGTGGGAGACTTTAACACTCCACTGTCAATACTAGACAGATCAACCAGACAGAAAATCAACAAGGATACCCAGGGCTTGAACTCAGACCTGGAGCAAGCAAACCTGGTGGACATTTACAGAACTCTCCACCCAAATCCACAGAATACACATTCTTCTCAGCACCACATCACACCTACTCTAAAATTGACCACATAATTGGAAGTAAAGCACTGCTCAACAAATGCAAAACAACTGAAATCATAACAAACAGCCTCTCAGACCATAGTGCAATCAAGTTAGAACTCAGAATTCAGAAACCGACCCAGAACCGCACAGCTTCATGGAAACTGAACAACTGGCTCTTGAATGTTGACTGGGTAAACAACGAAATGAAGGCAGAAATAAAGAAGTTCTTCGAAACCAATGAGAACGAAGACACAACGTGCCAGAACCTCTGGGACACATTTAAAGCAGTCTCTAGAGGAAAGTATATAGCAATAAGTGCCCATATGAGGAGAATGGAGAGATCCAAAATTGACACCCTATCGTCAAAATTGAAAGAGCTAGAGGAGCAAGATCAAAAAAACTCAAAACCCAGCAGAAGACAAGAAATTACTAAGATCAGAGCTGAGCTGAAGGAGATTGAGACACGAAAAACCCTTCAAAAAATCAATAAATCCAAGAGCTGGTTTTTTGAAAAGATCAACAAAATAGACAGACAACTAGCCAGATTGATTAAAAATAGAAGAGAGAACAACCAAATAGATGCAATAAAAAATGATAAAGGGGAAATCACT